ATGAGAACACACCCCCACCCAATCAGAACACAGCCAAGCCCCCACCCAAACAAGTCACACCCCCACTAGCAGTTAAAAGGAGGAAGCAGCTGCACGCTCACATTACTCCGAGAAGCACAAAGCCGAAGACACAAGCCTGAAGATGATGAATGAGACTTCATCGAAACGTCTCCTAGATACTTCCAATTTTACGCGGGAGAAAACCCGAATAACCAAAGATCCATATACAAATACCCGCGAAAACCTCAGAAAACAAATATATATACATACATACACACACATAAACACACACACATACGGAGGAAGAGAGGCCAGTTTATAAATATTACCATTAATATTTATAAATATTAAAATATTTTCAGTTTGATTCTTTTCTGCTGGAATCATACAACTTTTTCCATTTCAATGTGATTTCATAATTGTTGTATCAGTTGTCTTCTTTTGATACAGTTGATTTGATGAATCCTGGCCTTATGGAGATATATAGGATTCCCCAGATAACACTGAACTAGAATTCCATTATCCTTCACCATTGGTCATATACCTGATAGAACCTAAGACATTTTGAAGGCTACCTGTGTCCATCCTTGGCTTGGCCTTTCTATGATGAATGCCTTCAAAAATGTGAATGTCCACTTAAATTCTTAACAATGATCCTACTGGTTAGACACCGAAGTTCAAAGATAGACTTGAAGGCCACTCAAGTCAGGGACAGCTGAACTAAAACAAGCTAATTAATCATCAGATTGGAGATGCTAGGTAAATAGGTTACTTGAGAAATGTTTTGATATTGCACAAAGATAATTGTCTGCACAAATTGTGGATTCATGCACACATTAATCAGCATAGAGATAAGTGTCCATTAAATAAAAATAGATAAATTATGGGCTTGCTTGGAAAGAAATGATTATTTCTTATGGATGACAATGGTGAAATTAAAGAGTTCAGATCGTGGCACCTTCTGAAGTTTCCATTTGATTAGTACAATTTTCTTCCTCCTTGAAAACTTTCTGAAGCAAGTCCTTGATGCTTCTCTGAGTTTTACCCTTCTGTCTCCCCACTAGATAATAGATCAGAGGGTTAATGCTGCTGTTGATGCAGGTACACAAGTAGCCATAATGTACAAGGTTGGGATGTATATACTTCAAAAAATACTGGATAAAATAAAAGACATTTAGTGGAAAACCCAGGACTAAAAAGAAGAAAAGTGTGAGCAAAATAGCTGTCAAAAGCTGCCTCCGCCTTTGGCTTTTGGATATGAAGCAGATTTTGATAAACAAGGTGACACTGGAGATGGTCATAAGTGGGAGACAAAGCACAGCATTAATGATGAATTGATACATCAGAGTATAACTGTTTCCAAATCCATCCACTGCTATAATTGTGAAATGAATTGAAGAGAGGATGAAGGAAACGGCCCAGATGACAACACACACAATAGTGAACATATGCACCGGCCGGTGGCATCGATACCAAATTGGGAAAAGGACCGAAATACACCTGTCGATGCTGATGACTGTCAGGAGAAATTGCCCTGTACTGTACATTAACAGCAGGCCTGTTTGGAAGAGTTCGTAGGGAAAGTCACAATACAAATGTGTAAAAAGCCAGTGGATTTCGATAATCAGCTCAAAGGTGAGAAAACCAAAGTCTGCAACAGAGAGGTTGATAATATAAATGGCAAAAGTGTTCCTCTTAACGGAGGAGCCCAGCAACCAGATCACAAGGCCATTGCCCAACATTCCCAATACACAAAAAAGCATAGTGAAGATTGCATAAACAAGCACTTCTTCGTTTTTGCCGGAATCATAGCAGGTTCTGTTTTTGCCAGCAGATGTTGCAATGATTTGTGTTGAGACAATGAAAGGAGAGGGGGATGTCATATCCATAATGCTCCAGTCTGTTTTCTTCCTTCTGTGGCTGCAGATACTCCTGTTGGAACAAAAGAGAAACTGTTTTGCATTAGTTTTAGTCTCTAAAACTGCATATTGCAAGGTAGTCTCTAGATTAGCAGTCCTGTCCTCACCATTAAGCATGCAAGGACTTGGTCTGTATGGTTGAAATAAGGGTGATGATCTGGACTTGCTTTTCTGATTAAAAAGTGTTATGGGAAAATCTTGATTCATCAAGGCAATGACGTATTGGAAGTCATCTTCCATCTATGGATCATCTAGGGTCCTATCTGGTGTTACTCTGTGGTGGGATTCAAATAATTTAACAACCAGTTCTCTGCCCTAATGATTTCTTCCAACAACCAGTTCACCAAACTGCTCAGAAAGTTAACAACTGGTTCTCCCAAAGTGATGCAAACTGGCTGAATCCCACCACTGGGTGTACTCATGAAATATGGAAGATTTCCAATTAATATTGTGACTTTAAATAGTAAGCCACGTGGATTAATGAATGGGAAGGAAGGATGGTAATTTGGTTTTGTTAAACTAAAAAAAAAAAAAAAGGGAAAGAATGTACAAAATAAAAATGAAATGCTCTAAGCTTCTGGATTTGATGTATGGAATAGGATCAAAAATTGTATTTTACTAATCAAAATGAATCATATACAGAATGTGTACATTAGCAGAAGCTCACTCAAAACATGTAAAATTTTTGCATCATGATGATGATGATTATCACCATCCTGATGGATTGAATGGGTTAAAAAGCAATTTCAGTCTGAATATGAAATGGGGTTGATGGGATCTGAGGTAAGAAAAAGAAATGGTAGGAAATAATAAAGAAAAACGTATAGTCACTCTACATATTAGGAAACAAGTCTGCAATATTGTAAAAAGTTTATCTCATCAGGCTAATTATTCCACAAAGCACCTGTATTCAGTGGAAGTATTGGAAATAGACTGCATGGACCTGTATACTGCACAAGTCAAAAAGAGGGCTGTGAAAATATTTACAGACCCCTCACATCCTGGACATAAACTGTTTCAACTCCTTCCCTCAAAACGACGCTATAGAGCACTGCACACCAGAACAACTAGACACAAGGACAGTTTTTTTTCCTGAACACCATCATTCTGCTAAACAAATAATTCCCTCAACACTGTCCAACTATTTACAAAGTCTGCATTACTATTACTATTAATCTTCTCATCACTGCTTATCACCCATCCCCTCCCACTTGTGACCGTATGGCTGTAACTTTGTCACTTGTATCCTAACAATTTACATTGACTGTTTCCTAGTATGATTTGATTGCTTATTGTACCCTATGACTATTATTAAGTGTTGTGCCTTATGGTTCTTGATTCTTGATGAATGTATCTTTTCTTTTATGTACACTGAGAGCATATGCACCAAGACAAATTCCTTGTGTGTCCAATCACATTTGTCCAATAAAGAATTCTATTCTATTCTATTCTATTCTATTCTATTCTATTCTATTCTATTCTAAATATTACCAGGATGAACAGGGTAATATTCAGACTTCAATAATTGGCATCACTACAGAGCCAATACAAAGGGAAGATGACAGATCAATACAAACAAAAGCATTTAGTTTATTTTGATACATTGTAATCAGAAGGTATTCAAAGTGGCTCCATCGAATTTTTTGGAGACAAAGCTGTATATATGATGAAGGATCATAGATAGAGGAGAATTTAGTAACAAGGATTTATTTTGTATGAATGTCTTACCTTCTCTTTGAAGATGACTACTAGAAAATCTCCTTTTAGATCGATGCAATTCTTATTCTTAATGGCAAGGTTTTTCTTTTTAATCTTAGTTCTGGTTTCAAAGGAACTGTGACCACTCATGCATATCTGAAAAATTCCACATAATTGCTTTATATATGTTCAGGAGAGTTGGTGTAAAAGCAACACACCCACCTCTGGAAGAGCTGAGTGCACAACTGCTAGGAAATAAGCATATCTTTTTTCGAAATCATCCTCATCAGGAAATGAGGAACTTTTGATAGCAATCTCTGAAAGCACCATTATGACAATGACTGTGCCAATGTAGGAAGGAATAGATATATTGTCCCCCTAGCTGAATGCTCTTAAATGTATTGCAACAATAATAATTTCCCCCTTATGAAGCAGGACCAACATTTGTAAAATTCTATGTATCTATTTGAACCAATTTGACCTCATCTATCTACTGTATATAAAAAACGGTAGTTAACAGGTGAACCAACAGCAGAATTAAACTTCAAACCCCTCTGTTAACAACCTATTAATGTATTTAACTTGTAAACAGTCTACAACAGCTACCACAAATCACTGCAATCATTTTCTCTGTTCTATCCAAAGAGGGTCTGTCCAGGGTCAAATATCCTCATTTGATTCTTAAAAATGAAACTTTTCCTTGATGTTTTCATTGGGGTTTTTCCCAACAATTGCTCACTTTTAAGAACCATAAGCCCCTGTTGTAAAAATATCTGCAGCACCCATTGTTTTGAAAGTCTCCCTGTAAGAAAGTTGTATGATCTTGCATATAACTACAGCAGCAAGGATAGCATTCGCATAATGCTGGAAAAAGGATAGCATACCATCAGAAGGTCTAGTCACTCAAAAGATTTTAGAATGTGCAGAAATGGACAAACTCACCCTCGAGTTAAAAGGTAAAGAAGATTCAGAGTATTATGCAGTATGAGAAAATTGGTATGAGTGGATGGACAATAGGAATAAGAATTGTAGAGACAAGAAGAAGGTATAGTTTATTGTCATTGCACCTCGTACAACGAAATCAAACACCATCTTCAGTGCACATCATGACCATGACCATGAAAATAAACACAAACACACATCCTTCACCCTTCACACATTGAACTGGAAACCCCCAACACCACACCATCACTGCACTATACAGAAGAATTCAAAAGAGCTACTGCCCTGGGATAGAAGCTGTTTTTCAGCCTATTTGTCCTTGTTTTTAATTATCCTGTACCGTCTGCCAGATGGTAATAGTTCAAAAAAAGGGTTCCCAGGATGAGATGGGTCTTTGAGAATGTTCTGAACTTTCTTAAGGCAATGGGAGCTATAAAGCTTTTCCAAAGAGGGGAGAGGGCAAGCCATGATCCTCTGGGCAATGACATTGACCCTCTGGAGTGCTGTCCTATCTGCCACTGTGCAATTGGCAAACCATACAGAGGTGCAGTATGTTAAAATGCTCTCTATGGTGCAGCAGTAGAAGGTCACCAGCAGTTTCTCATTCAGTTGTTGCTTTCTGAGAAGCCTCGAGTAGTATAATCTCTGCTGGGCCTTTTTGACCAGGGTTTCAATGTGGGCACCCCAGGTCAGGTCCTCTTTTAGGGTAACACCCAGAAACTTAAAACTGACCACTTGGTCCACTCGGTCTCCATTGATAAGCAAGGGCTGGATGTCTGATCTGTTCCTTCTATAATCCACTAGAAGCTCCTTGGTCTTATTGGTGTTGAAGACCAATTTATTGTCTCCACACCACGAAAGCAACTGGTCCACCTCATCTTGATAGGCAGACTCATCCCCCTCGGAGATAAGTTCCACCACTGTTGTATCATCTGCAAATTTAGCAATAGTATTACTTGCATGAGTGGGAATGCAGTCATGAACATAAAGAGTATAGAGTAAGGGACTCAACACACAACCCTGTGGTGTACCAGTGTTAAGAATAAGGGTTGAAGAGGCATGATTACCTAATCTGACCCTCTGTGAGTGGCCAGACAGGAAATCCATAATCCAAAGGCAGATTGAATTAGAAAGCCCAAGGTCCAGAATTTTAGACACTAGTCTATGTGGAAGAATTGTGTTAAACGCAGAACTAAAATCCACAAAAAGCATCCTCACATAGCCCTCCCACTGTTCTAGATGAGTCAGAGCAGTGTGAAGAGTGATGGCTATAGCGTCCTCTGTAGATCTATTTTTTTTAATGCAAACTGGTGTTTATCAAATGTATGCAGAAGACCAGAAATGATGTGCCGGCAGACCAATTTCTCAAAGCACTTCATGATGATAGGAGTGAGTGCCACTGGTCTGTAATCATTGAGGTTATAGATAGTGTTATGAACTAATAAAAACTATTTAATAAAAACTTGTCAACCTTACGAGAAAGCAGGCTCGTAATCCTGCATCTTTGATTGGCCCATGGATAGCGAGCTGGGATTGGTCCTTACGGAGCAGCCTGATTGGCTATTAGCTGAACATCTCTCATTGGGTACAATTTAAACATTTGAACGCAAATCATTGGTTAACGGGTCAGCAGCCAGCTCTATAAAAGAGCTGCTGCTGCCCAGGGTTTTCGCTCTGTTCTTAATCGTTAATAAAGAGTTGAAGTTCACTAGTTCTCTGCCTCGTCTCCGTTCCTTGCGCCCATGCTCAGAACATAACACTGGCAACGAGGATGGGATGCGGAGACAACAGAGCTGACTGAACACTACAGAGCGCCAAACAGAGCACGTGGCTGAAGGCGCACCAACAACGGCAATATGGACAGCGGTGCTATACCACCCGCTCCATTTGACCCAGCAAACGAAGACTGGGACTTGTATATGGATTGATTTCAGTTGTTTCTGGAGACCAATAACTTAAAAGACGCTACGACCGGCAAGAAGCGAGCAATATTCCTGACCCATTGCGGGCCTGCCGTATTTAAGATGGCGAAATCACTTGCAAAACCGGCTGAGGTGAAAACGATGGATTGGGACACCCTCGCGCCCCTTCTATGGGCCCACTATGCACCCGCAGTGCCAACACTTGTCCATAGGCACGAGTTTTACCAGAGGGACCAACGGAAAAGCGAAAGTCTTGCAGTCTTCATCGCTGACCTCCGGAACTTGGGTGGCCTTTGTGGGTTTTCAAACCTCGAAGAAGCCTTGCGAGACCGCATAGTTCTGGGATTAGATGACCACACGGTGCAGAGCAAGATCATGGCCAAAGGGGGCATCGATCTTGCCGATGCCATCGCAGATGCTACCGCAGCAGAAGCAACCAGGAAGTCGGCCGCTCGAATGCGCCGCACCAACGCACCGCTCCGTCAACTCACGAATGATACCTCGCCTCGCCCCAAGAGGCACTCAACAACGGCGCACCATGAGGACCTGGAATCCCCATCAGAAAGTGATGAGGAAGAGGTCAACCGACTCCGGTCCGAACGAGACCAACAAAACCAAAGATTCCCGCGACAATGTGCGGGTTGTGGGGCAAACCACTCACGATCCGATTGCAAATTCCTCGACGCGCTCTGCCATTCCTGTGGAAAAAGAGGCCACATCGCAAAGGTCTGTAGAAGCAAGCAAGGGTCCAGCCCAAAGCGCATGGAGAATAACTGCAGCCAGTCTACAGGATATCCTCCTGCGAATCGAAACCGCCAGAACCACCAATGGAACAACCACTCCTACAGAAATAAAGCACCTGCCACTTCAACGAGACGAGAAGAGGCACACCAAACCATTACCATCGGCCACGCTTCATCCTTAGATGCAAGAAAGATCCGAGTGAGGGTTGCCATCGAGAATCAACCTTGCGTGATGGAAGTCGACTCGGGGTCGTCTCTCTCGATGGTTTCCTGGAAGACCCTCAAACAACTAATCCCGGCCATCCGTCGTCAGGACCTCAGCCCCCAAAGGATCATACTCAAGGATTACCAGGGCAACAGAATCCTGGTTGTCGGTTCCAGCCAAGTCCAAGTCTCCTTCAAAAATCGTACCGCATCATTACCGCTGACCATCGTCAACCGTGACCAGCCTAGCTTATTAGGCCTACAATGGTTCGCCCCGCTCAGGATCGAGGTAGCCGGCGTCCACCGAGCTGAGAGCAACGACTGGGAGGAGTCTCTCATCCAAGAATTCCAGGACGTTTTTTTCAGAAGAGCTAGGCAAGTACAAGGGGACCCCAATATCGTTTAACCTTAATCCTGAAGTAGCTCTCATCCTCCTTAAGCCTTGTCGGGTGCCTTTTGCACTAAAACCAAAGATTGACGAGCAGCTCGATAAATTAATAGCCCAGGGTGTTTTAGAACCAACCGACCATGCCCGTTGGGAAACCCCAATTGTAACACCCATTAAACCAGATGGATCGTTAAGGGGATTATCGGGCCACCTTGAACCACGCACTTCAGCAAAGTGCTTACCCGGTGCCGGTGGTTCAACACCTTCTCCACTCCCTGGGTGGTGGGAAGATATTCGCTAAATTGGATTTAGCACAAGCATACCAACAGTTGCCCGTAGATGCGGAAACTGCGGAAGCACAAACTATCGTTACACATAGAGGCGCTTTTAAGTGCAATAGACTCCAATTCGGAGTGAGCGTAGCTCCGGGAATTTTTCAAAGTTTGATGGAGAGACTTTTACAAGGCATAAAAGGGGTCGTGCCATATTTTGATGATGTTTTAATCGCCGCCCCTAATAGAGATATCTTAGAAAAGTGTCTCAGAATGGTTCTACGGAAATTTAAAGACGCCGGCCTGAAGGTTAAAAAAAATAAATGTCAACTGTGTACTGAGAGGGTGGAGTTCCTTGGATACCTTCTCGATAGTCAAGGAATCCATCCCACTGATAACAAGCTAAAAGCAATTAAAAACGCCCCAACACCTAAAAATAGAACAGACCTCCAAGCCTTCCTGGGGCTCATTAACTTTTACAACATCTTCTTGCCCCAGAAGGCGACCGTAGCTGAGCCCCTACACAGACTTCTCGATAAAAGAGCAACCTGGGTCTGGGGACATCGAGAGGAACGCGCCTTCCAACAAGTGAAAGACTTACTAACCTCCGACGCTGTATTGATGCAGTACAACGAGACTTTACCCTTAACTATTACATGCGACGCTTCACCGTTTGGAGTGGGAGCAATC